ACAAGAAACTTCTAGATGGGGGAGACTTCAAGTAAGAGATCAAATATAACTTTAATTGTTGTATTTTACAGTGTTTCATATATATTTACTGAGTCTACTTTCTTTTTGTTGTTTAGGCTCCAGGATGCACTTGATGGCCGAGAGTAATATTACAGGCAGCGATCTTGAAGAGCAGACAACAAAACAAACTTAACATTTTAGATAGCATGCACATGGAAACCTGTGGTGAATCTTTGTCATTTAAAAGTCCCCTTTCTCCTTTGTCTAGACTACAATTTATAGGACACAACAATTGCAACATGATGTCATTTACAGGGTAATTGCTTTCTGTCAACAAAGCCTGTTCCATCCTACACTCTGACTTTACACAGATGTGCAAGTTACAGAACAACAAAGGCAGCTTTTAGAACATCAATTGTGTATTATGAGTCTTTATAATACATAATTCCATGTCACTGCACAAATTATACAGTAAGCTTAACGATTACAATGAAATGTGAAGAGAAATGTGAACTTCTCAAAGCAATAATGAAATAAAAACATGCTTTCTAAGTAAAATTTGGAATCAAGCAAACATGAACAGACATCAAAAATCTTTTAATGGTTTCCTCTTTTAAATTGCATGTTTTGTCCACTAGAGTTAACTCTCAGTGCGCATAAGAGGGTCAGGATGGTGTATTTCACACAAAAAGTCAATAAAAGCAAAGTTTCATAGCTACTGCTCATTATTCTGTCTTCAGGCAGGACAAAATTATTGTACACACATTTTAAAATAAACTAGGTGATTGTATTTTTTAAGGCACAACTTCATTCCTATATTTAGGAGTACAATTACTCCAGTTTACTTTACAGGAGTGATCAATTTAATATTTTATTTTAATGTTTTAAATATGAAATATGAAATACGTCAGCTGTTGGACGAACATTAAGACAGGATACAAAAAGCAGACATTTGATTCGACTGAAATGATAGGTACAAATGTTTTGCTTGCAAATGCTTTTAACCTCTACTTACAAGATACACAAGCTTATTACAGCATTTAATGTTAGCCGTTTGAAGAGCTGTGAAGGACCATCTGGTTCCTCTCCAATAAAAACATATTACTACAAATCCATATGAATTCTAGTCTATCAAACATTTAATCTTATCAATAAGAAATTAAACCGTATTAGTACATGATATCATGCTATGTGCTAATGCTCCTAAGAAGATGAAGCATAGATAAATCTGGAAAAGTGGCTGGGATTTGTTTACTTGACTTCCGCACAATGAGCTAATGCCATGACAGCTAATTAGCTTGCTGAAGCTCATTGCTTGGGCACTGTAAGCCTCCAACTAAACAGATTAGCAGCAAAGCTTAGGTGGATTGATTTTGAGTTCTCCAAACCAGATTCAGATAATGTGAATTGCTACAAAAGTGCCATTTCTAATTCTAATAAACAACATAATGCTTTGATGACAGTCCCTAAATAAAAATAACACTTTGGCTTCACAAAGCAAGGTATTTTGAAATATAATATCACAAATAATAGTCATTTACATTGGGGCTAATAATTTTTTAACAAACCACATTTTTTGTAACATTCTGACACACTAAAACATTCAGAACGTATTAGTTGTTTTACAGCAACAACAATAAGTGTGTTTAAACTATGAGATTTTTTGGGTGAATTACTGAAAATATAGGCTGTTAACTGATATATTTTGATGGCTGATGGTATATTATCAAATAAGTCTAAAATACCTGAAGTAAAGCTGTTAGCGTTCCCATTCATCTCAATGGCAGTTGCTAGCTAGTGCATGATCCACTGTAAGGATGCAACCTGGAGGCTGCCATTTTTGCTACAGGAACATTTGTCATGTGACTGGTCACCTGTCAAAGGCAATAGGGAAATTGGGGAAAATGTGAGTGTATTGGAACAAACTTTTTTTTTTTTAATCTGAGGACATCTCCTGGACATGAACAATGCTGCACAACCTAATATTGCTATAAATTTGACATACTGAAATACAGAGCAGCAGTGTTTAAAAAAATGAAAGTACATATGGAATCATTTGTTTAATTAATTTAACAAAGAAACTCTTTTTTTCAAGCGGTCCAGTGAAGGAACTGACATGAATGACATCCTATTTCTCTGCTTTGGGTTGTAGGGTAATTAATGTTCCACAAAAACTCCAAAATTTCCATAATATGAGCTTTTCTAATATGAGTTTGCAAAAACATTTCTACAGCTGAAAATTTCATGGTAATTAAGAGTAATATCCCTTTAATTTAAATGAGACATATTATGCCCCTTTTTACAATATATAATATAAGTCTCTGGTGTCCCCAGAATGTGTCTGTGAAGTTTCAGCTCAAACGTCTCCACAGATAATTTATTATATTATTTTGAAAATGCCTATTTTGAGTGGAAGCAGAAACGCGCTGTTTTTCGGGCCTTTCTCTTTAAATGCAAATGATCTGCCGCTCCCCGCCCCCTTTTCCAGAATAGAGCTGCACCTTTACAGCTGGAACCTGCTAAAAAATCTGTTTTGGTTCTGATTATCATGTTTATCGCGCTGAAATCATGCGTTTTAAACCATATGAGTTTAAACGTCTGATATACCTTTTCTGAGCACACATATCCGAAGCACATGGGCAGAAAGCGGCCACCACACAGCATGTGAGTACTAAACTAAGTTCTCATTCACACACATCTTTATTAAAAACACACGAGTTACAAAAACAGTCAGTTATGTCTGTGAAGGTAAACAGCTGGGAAATAAATTGCATGTTTATTTTAGATCTGTGTGGCAGCAGCAATATACAGTAAATAAATTAATAAATCCACTGCTCTCTTGTCTCCTCTGAGGCTGGGACTCTAAATAGTGTTCTGTGCTCGTCTGTGCAGCCAAAGGCAGAACAGTTAGCATATTTTGCTCAAACTTTCACCATGGCATTGGTACACCGTTGTCGCTTGTGAAAAAAAAACACAATGACGGCGCTGTGGGTGTTTTACATTTACAGATTAAGGGGCGGTAATATTATAATGAGATCCCTTTGCCACTTCAGCAAGGGAGCGAAATCTATGGGATGAAATTAGACTCAAAATGATTAATAGATGCACGAACAATTATCCATGTACTGCATACATTTTATACATGTATCTTACTAACCACAAACAAATGCCTTTCAATTTGATTCCGTGAAATTCGGGATTAAATGATTGTGCAGCGATTTGTACAAATACAGACATGTTTGCGAATAAAAATTTTCTGTTCTTCATTAATATATCATAAATTGCTCATGCAAAAAGGAATCCATGCTTATGTGGATCAGGTGACACGCGTGCATTAATTGACGTCTAGTTCGAGTCAATCTTGTTCGGTTCATTGTGCATATGTGGATCAGGTGACACGCGTGCATTAATTGACGTCTAGTTCGAGTCAATCTTGTTCGGTTCATTTGGATTTTAAGACTTCATTTTTGCAGTTTACAGCATTTCACATCCCCCCCACACACAACTACCAACGAACAAGGCCCAGTGCTATTCATTAAGGTGTACACAGTTTGAAAAATTTGCAAAATTGCGTCACTACACTGAAACAAATGCTTTTCAACCGGTGTCTGCAGAGTTAAGAATTACATTAATGTGCAGCATTTTGTTCAAATAGAGACATATTTGTGAATACAAATGTTACAGTTTGTATTAAAGTGTCATAGTTTAATAGTCACATAGTCGCGGCAGTAGAGGCAGCGCAACTATAAACGACACATGAATAATCCCGCCCACTCTAAAGCAGTACTGAACTGCAGTGGAAACGCAAGCCGAGCCGTACCGTACTGAGCCGTGCCGAGCCGAGTCGTACCACGCAGTGGAAAAGCGCCATATGAAAGGTGCATTTCTCTCATATTGCAGTGCGGAGATGGCTAATCAGCATCGTCTACTTCATCTTTGCATAATAATAATAATAATAATACAAGGAAGGAATAACTGACAACGTGCCATTGAATTACAGAAAAAAAAAAAAAGGTACCGTAACGAAGTTCTTGTTTGGCAAAATTAATATAAGTTATTCTGTGTCTTAAGACAAGTTACGTTAACTTAAAACATCTTGTATTTCTACGGGCAGAGGAGAATAGCCAAACCAAAAAGAAACAAAGAAAACACAATGTAACATTCATAAAACTGTACACAATGGAATGCGCACATGTGAGTGGGGCTAGTGCCATCTAGTGGTCGCTGATTTTCTTTAGCTCAGCTGCGTGGATCGCGCGCGAGCTGTGTGTGTGGATTGGGCAAAGCTAAAAGGGCGGAACGAAAGTCTCAAAATTCAAGTTAATCAAATAGAATCGACTCAGAAGAGACGTGAATGAATGCA